AAATGTTCTGAAGATTTAAAGCGAGTGCAGATATCCAGGGTGTAGAAAACAATACTTGCATGTTTAAAATGTGGATTATCAAGTCACGACTGTATTCTCTGTTCTCCTGATCTTGATCTTGAGAGAATCCATCTTACCAAGTTTTAAGCTACGTGTTGGTGTCAAACCCACCATTTATTGGCCCAACCTGCGTCGTTTTAGGAGCTACTAGCAGCTACAGTTGTAGGTGTAGCTTCGCCCTTTGATGGATGATAACAGTTCGTCCAGTCGCCTGTCAGGTATTTTGCTGAGTATTTATTAAAAGTGCCTCCTCTTTTCCAAACCCTTCCCAGGTACGACTCTTCAGAGCGTTCTGTGCAGCAAACCACATCAGATGATAATCTATTGTGCTGCTTCTGAAGTGTCAATCGAATTAATCAATGTCCTCCGTTCGTCACTTGATGCTCACAGTGGTTGGCACCTGCTCTGAAAAGCGAGCGCAGTGAAAGTGATCTAATTTTAGCTCGTCTTGACCTATTACGCCTGTTTATATCTGAAGACAGCTGCTCAGGATGATGCACAACCGGCGGGCAGAGCTTTGTCTCGGAGCGCGTTGTTGAGCACATGTCAAAGGAAATTCAGCTGAAGTTAAAACACCATGCGTTTGTTTTGCAGGATGACTCCGTCCCGAACGGCCTGCGAGCGCTGCCCCTCTTCTACGCCACCACCATCGGGATCAACACGTTCTCCATCATGTACACTGGAGCCCCGTGTAAGTTGTTCCTTCCATTAATAGAGATTTATTTTGTCTGACACCAGCACACGATCAAATTATCGTCCCGCTCTTAACGGGCGACGGCGCCGATGTCGTCGGCTCGCTCCAAATTCCTTCTGAAGGTGCGACATGAGTATGAGCTTCTGAAGCTACTTGCAAGATGTGATTTTCTCCTCCTACTTGTGTTCATGAACTGCAGTGCTCGGGTTGGAGATGCTGCCGGTGTGGGCCATCTTTCTCATCACTTTAGCCGGGGCGCTGGTCTGCGCGGCTCTGGTCTGGTTCTTTGTCTGTCCCTGGATGAGGAGAAAAATAGCAAGTAGGTATCTGCATGTGTGTGTGTGTTTGGTCTTTGTCCCGCCATGTGAAAGCCCGAGGCCGGACAACAGAGCCTCAGCCTGCACATTCACCAAACAACGGACGCCATCGGATGTGTTTCCTTGTTTGACTCACTAAAAAGAAAAAAGAGAAACCCTGTGAACTCTGCTGTGTTCCGGTAGATTTTTGGGCGCACAGCGACTTGGCCGAATGAAATGGGTCAAGATCGCGGCCCGCAGTGAATAAAGCTTTCAGATGAAGGTTAGGAATTGTTTCCCTAATGGGACAAGCGGCCTGCAGCGAAGCAGACGACGCTTTAAAACGCAGGACACATGAGATTAAAGCGGTGGAAGTAGTCGGAGGTGGACAGTAAGTCTGAGAAATTCAACTGTGTGCAGCATGAATAGGAACCTCTGCTCACTGCAGTGATTAAAATAAAACCTACGAGCTCTTAATCCTCAAGCCTGGAAGGCCGTGAATACATCCAAACAGATAAACGCTGTAGTTTTGTGATATAAAAATATAAATAAGGTTAATAAGTGAGCCTGTTCCTGCAGCCAGAACGCCGTCGAGGCTTAAAATAGACTTTTTTTTTTCTCCTGTTGCTAAACGTGTCACGACCTCTGAATGCCTGCGAGGATTAAAGGTGATATTATCGGATATTGCTGCGTCCGTCAAAGTGAAACAGGTGACGGCTGAGGTTGTTCCTGTGTTTGTACTGGGGTCTCTGAGGAGCGAAGGGGGGCATCAAGTGTATCAGCACCGGGATTAGTCTGGATCAGCTGATGGCTCTGTGTGTTTGTGGAATGTTTATGCAGTTTTTTTCTTGTGGTGGCCGGCACCGGCGCTGATTATTGTTTATGTTACTACAGAGTGGCACAGTTTGAACAACAAGACATAGAAGAATGAACAAAATCATGACCTTTGTGCCAAATTAGCGTCTCACTTGTGAAACTTCTGTCCTGAATGTGCCAGCTTGTCCCACATGGACGTCATCCAGATAACTTCTTATTTTAATGTTTATGCCTTTTGATCTTGTAAGTAATAAGAAAATAAGCCAGGAATGCAAACACATAATTACTATATAAGGTTCTACTGCTGCATTGTTAAGAGATTTCAGCTGTTTATCTGGTTGTAGTATTTGTTAACTAAACCGTGCATCTCTTGACTTCCTCCAGGTCGTTTAAAGAAGGAGCAGGCCCTGTCGAGGATTTCCGATGAGAGCCTGGACAAGATCCCCGAAGAGGAGGAGGAGAGCCCCGTTTTCAAAGAGCTACCGGGAGCCAAGGGCACCGACGAGGCGGTGCTGCCGCTCACCGGCGGCAGCAGCGAGCGGAGCACCCGCGACTCCAGCGGAGAGCTCACCAACCTGGCCAACGGAGGCACCGTCCTGCCAAACGGCAGGGTGTACGGTAAAACTGTGAAGTTATATTTTTAAAAAGAGACATCACAGTTTTGAGATGTACCAGCACAGAGACAAAAACATTGACTAAAAGAATTGTGTAATCTGTGTGGATGAGGAGTGTTTCCATATTAACCCTCTGAGCTCCGAGGAGTTGGTGTTTTAGCTCCTGTAGGCTCATAATGAGCTGCAGTATGAAGTCCTGTCCCTCTGTGGGAAAAGCACAGCTGTGGCTAGAAGGAAAACTCAAAATATAACGACGTGATATGATGCCATAAATCATAACAAGAATGATTTTAGGCTGGAATCAACATGTTTTCCCAGTGAGCACAGGTGCTACCAACACTGGAAAAACAATAATGGCTCTTACATCCTTAAAATATTTCACTTCTAACATTTTAATTAGTTTCCATTCTGCTCTGTTTGCTGAACTCTGTGTGCTTCATGACTGCTGGTTGTGGCAAAGTTGGTCATGACTTCTCAGACTTTCTTATTATTATTATTTAGTTTTAGTTTTAGTTTTTTAACAGAATCTGGTTACTGAAGAGTTTGTTTTTGGTGATTTTTTTTTTTTTAAATGGCACAGTTAGGTGATTTCTTTAAAATTTCATAACTTTAAGCTTAAATTTGGTTAGTTTTTCTGACAGAACCTAAAGTCACAGAGGGTGAGCTGACAAAACAACGATTCTCTCTGCCTTTACAGTTTCTGATAAATGGTATAATTTAGGTGATTAAAAACAAAAGAACTTTCAAACCCACCAGCAGGTTTTGGGTTCAGAGGGTTAATATGACTTTTAAAGTTTTAGCAGATCCGTAACACTCGTGGTGATTGAAACCTTCCATTGCCACAACCTTAACGCTTCCACGCCCTCCTCTCCATCTTCCTCCTTCCAGGTCGGACCCACTCGATGACCAACGGCTGCCTCAAGTCACCTGTCTCTAACGGCAGCTTCAGCTTCGACGGCCACATGCGCAGCGACGGCCAGGTGTACCACACCGTGCACAAAGACTCGGGCCTTTACAAAGACCTGCTTCACAAAATCCACCTGGGCCGCATGGACGACAGCGACCGCTCGGGCTCCAACGCCGGCCCCGTGGACAACAACTACCGCCTGCTGCGCCGCAACAACAGCTACACCTGCTACACAGCGGCCATATGCGGCATGCCCGTGCAGCCGCTCATGCGCCAGGAATCGCGCGAGGACAGTGAAAAGCTGGTGGGCGAAGGAGGCGGCAGGAGCAACAGCGTGTCCTACTCCAAGAAGCGGGTACGCTACGACAGCTACTCGTCGTACTGCAACGCCGTGGCCGAGGCCGAGATCGAGGCCGAGGAGGGCGGGGTGGAGATGAAGCTGGCCACGGAGCTGGAGGGCGTGGAGGAAGAGGGAGCTCCGGCGCCGGTGCCTCTAGACGACTTGGCGGAGGAGGATCACGAGGAGAAGGACAAGCCCGAGGTGTTTCTGCTCTTCCACTTCCTGCAAATCCTCACCGCCTGCTTCGGCTCCTTCGCCCACGGAGGCAACGATGTCAGGTGCTGCCTCCTGCTGCTCACATGACAGATAGCAACTCACGTGGCCCTGTGTGCATGTCAGAGCGTTTCCCTAATATCACATCATGTATAGAGTTACTCCTCAAGGCTTTGATGCATGTAAACTCACATGCAGCTCCTTTTCCCGCAAGATACTGAGGAACCAGATTCACACAGCTGCTATGACACATATTTGTCTCATCTGTGCAGTAACGCCATCGGGCCCTTGGTAGCACTGTGGATGATCTACGACCAGGGAGGTGTGATGCAGGACGCCGCCACTCCGATCTGGCTGCTGTTCTACGGCGGCTTAGGCATCTGCGCCGGCCTGTGGGTCTGGGGCCGACGCGTCATCCAGACGATGGGGAAGGACCTGACTCCCATCACCCCCTCAAGGTGAGAGCGCCGCCTCGCAGGAGGAGTGAGTGCAGGAGGTGTTGTGTGTGTGTGTTTGTGAATGTGAACTTTCCTACACGCTCGGTTTCGCTCGCTCCAAAGAGCCTCGACTTGCTGACACAAACAAGTTCGCCCGGCGCTGCAGCCCGCTCGGTAAGTACTTGAATGCACAAACGAACAGTTCAGATGATATTCAGGATTCCACGCTATGCAGGCAGCAAAACCCGTAAACATTCTGCAGCACAGTCACATGAATGGTTCCTGCTGAGTCACCTCTAGCGCTCCCTCTTTAGAGTTATGGTAGACTTGTGTGAGGAATCTCCCCGTTAGCCCGGGCCGCCGCCGCTGCTGCAGGCAAAATTAACTTCACTTCACAACCTGCACGCACACTGTTGTGTTTTCTATGTTGGTTGCATGTGTAAACGCACATATATGTCTGTTTCTCTGTAGAAGAGAGCAGACTGAATCCCTCCCACGTCACTTTAATGGAGAGGTTTACACATTCGAGTTAAAAGTTTTCTCTTTCGGCACAACAGTTTGGTGAGAAGTCATGATCTCAGTGTTGAACAGCCACTAATTGTTATTCTCACTCCTACATGAAACATAAACTTGGCCGGAGATATTTCTTTACTGCTTCACAACAGAAATCTGCAATAAGTGGCTCTTTGCATAGACAGTGGAATAGAAATGGTCTATTTTTTCCCTCTGACCTTTAACTTATTACGTAATGATTCTAAATAAGTAAGAAGCCTTTTGGACCACAGCTACTAAAGCCCCGGGGCGCACTTTGTCCAACAACCTAAGCAGCCGACATCCTTCGCCGCTCGCTGCTGCTCCTCCGTCCTTGACTTCGATCTCCGTCTTACTCCCTCTGTCTCGCTGGCCTCTCATCCTCCTACGCGTTTGCTGAGCAGCGTGTGTGCGCGTGTGCATACCTCGAGGATGTGTGTGTGTGTTCGGGAAGCCGAGCTCAGCGCCTGCAGGTCGCCGCCGTGAGGAGAATCTACTGTATGAGTGTGCGAGCATGCATGCATGCACATTAAGGTCTAATTGTTCCAGCTAGTTCTTTTCTGAGAGTGTGTGCGCGGTGTTGCCTGGCAGGACGAGCACACAGGGTTACAGGAAGTTGTTTGGCATTCTGGATGAAGAGAAGTCGAGCAGGAGGGACGCAGTGGGAACCCGAGTCTGTCTGAACCGAGCACAGGGAGGGAGGGAGGCCAGCCGACTCCTTCTCCTGCCTGTTTCTTCTTCCTCCTGTCCTCCTGTAAATCTCTATTTCTAACCATCTTCCTCTCCTTGACCTCACTTTTTCAGCTTTCCTCAGTCCTTCCCATTTTCGTCTTTTCACTGCATCGTCTTGTTTTTTTATCACCTTCTCACCTCTAAAGCTTTCCAAAGGCTCTCAGTCGCTCTCACGCCGTCTCATTATTTTTCCCTCCTTCTTCGTCGGCCCCTCTCTCTTTGTGCGCCTCCTTTCTTTCTTAATCTCCTCCTTCCATCACTGGCTTAGTCTTTTTGCCAGCACCCAAAGACAAATTCGCACTGGTTCTCCGTTATAAAGGCCCTTTATTCTCCCTCCGGTGTCTGTTTCCGTGATTCAGTCCAACAAAGAAGTTTGTTTGGGACGAGGACAGGAAAGTGTGTGTAGTAGTCGCTGTAGTTTATTTGAGCAGGAACAAATAACACCTGAACACAGCAGCAAACTGTGTTTATGCTTGAGATGTGGAGTTCCATCCTTCTGGCCAGTTTTCCTGTTGAATCACCAGGACTGCTGCAGACGTACCTGCCAAGCTTTACTCGCGGTACGCTGAGTTACACAAACAGTCCTGTCGCTTTGTGGTGAATGTGATGAATGAATAACACCAAAAGAGCGAAGAAACGGGAACGAGAGTCGAGATTTTAGTGGAAATGCTCGTTTTTAGAAGTAATAATGATGATAACAACTCTCTTTATGTATAACGTGGTGAACGAACGGGACAAAAAAGAAAATAAGGATACTCAGGAAGAACATTGAGCATCAGAAGTCAGTCCAAACATGAAATACCATCGAAATAAATCAGTGCAACAACACCAGATGAAATAATAATGCAGGTAAGAGCAAGTGGAATAAAAAGAAAACCATAAACACAAGACTAAAAATTATAATAATTGTAGTAATAGTAAATAATTAGTTAATTTATATGTAGTTAAGTAAAGGGTAAAATAAAATAAAATGAGAAAAAATCAATTAGATTAAAAAAAGGTAATAGAAATAATTCTTTAAAAAAAAAAAGAATATTAATGAAAATGGAAACAGACATTTCTTTTCCTCAAAAAAAAAAAAAAAGAAAAGAAAAATCCCAGTAATAAAGGTTTTTGGTGCATTTCTGTGCAGCATCACAGCGCTTTATTTAACAAGGCCTGTTGACATAATGGTGCCTTAATCAAAAAATTACAACTCCAGCAGTTTGGATCTTACTCTGAGTAGGACGTTGATAATATTTAGATATTTCAACCAGACCTACGTTACAGCTGCATGGTCATTTTCTCCCTCACCGTTGGGCCTCTTTACAAACAGGTTAGGTACGCTCACCACTGACTCAGCTCCAATCATTGGAACGCTGCTGTGAAAGAAATTGGCTCTGGCTGTTCGTGAACGCCACAACAGCGACATGTTGGCGCTCGCACCACTTTGGCCAAATAACATTCAGCGTTCTGTGTCCCCAGAACTTCACATCAGTGCTGCTGGTTCTTTATTTAATATGTAATTGAAACAGAAGAGGTGCCGGTGGTTTCATTCTCTCTCCGTCTTAATTCCACTGCTTGGTGTTTCTATCACACAGCTGCTTCCTCGTGTGTCGGGATGTGGGAAAAGCTTCTTTTTTTTTTTTTTCTCAATGATTCTCTCTTCCAGTGCGTCCGCTGGTCTGGTGACAAAGTGTGAATAATGTTCTGGAAACAGGACGTGACTTCAGAGAAAATGTGTCCTAGTAAGCAAGAGGCGCAACAGAAACACACCCACACAAACTCAACCACCTACCGACATCCAGGACCTCATAGAAATGCTGTCTGTGTCGTACATGTGTGTGTGATTGTGTGTGTGTGTGTGTGTGTGATTACCGTATTTCCTGCTTGTCCTCTGAGCGTGTGCCGATCAGAGGCGTGTTTCATGCTGTGCTGTGGTTAAATGTGGACGCTGGTGGGACCGGCGGCGGCGGCGGCGGCGGCGTCCCAGACATGACAATGAAGAATCTCTCTTTGCTCCCCCTCCGTCCTCCCCCCTTCCCTCCCCTCTTCCACAGTGGATTCACTATTGAACTGGCTTCTGCACTCACAGTCGTGTTGGCTTCCAATATCGGAATCCCTGTCAGTACCACACACTGCAAGGTATGACTGAGTGGTCCCCCCACAGCCGGCCTCTCCACAGCTCCCCCTCCAGGCCTCTCCAGGGGGGCGGGGAGCTCACACTGCCTCCCAGGGCGCCGGGCGAACGCACCCCCTCCAGCCCAGATCTGGACTTTCTTCTTGCAGTCAGATGATTAAAAAAAATAGCCTCGCTTTTATATTCCTGTCACGCAGACAATTAACCCCAATAAGCTGTATTCCATCCGAGAGAGACAGAGTTCATATTATTGTGGCAGAAAAGGATAATTCCAGTTTATTGAAACCTTCGGCTATCATTTCTGACAATCATGACATCACTGTACAAGCTAAATTAGCCGCTGTGGTCGGGGGAAAAAAAACGGCAGCGTGGCTACAACAAAGTCCGACTGTCTGGAGTGTTGTTGGAGAATCAAGGGAATTTCCACAAAAGCATCAAGGGGAACATGTGTCCCTTCATTTTTGAAGCACCGATTTTACAATCACGCTTTTAATTTTCTCGCTTTAATCTCTCTAAATGGTGTCCTTTGTCCGCTCGGCTCCCAAAACCCAGATGAAATGATAGAGGCCTTTATTAAGGGCTGACACATTAATCAGAGATGATGACTTTAAATATTACAGCAGGACGCTTTTTAAGTTTAGAGAGGGAAGAGGACACTGCATATTAATGAACACATACAGGACAATGAATAAGATCTGTGTAGTCCTCGCTATACATCTGCTTTTATATTTAGAGTTTGTCTTCTGCTCATAGGGCCTGAAAGTATCACCTCTTACCTGCTTAGTTTCTGAATAAAAATGAATTGAATCGATGCTTTTATTTACTAGTCTGCAGGTCTCTAGTTTGCATTAGTAAAGACGAGGACATTTCTGACTGCAGTGTTCATAGTCACCGTTTTTTTCTCCAGAATCCAGCAGCATTATTATCACACAGCGATGTAAACAACACCAACATAAACCAGAGTTATCCTTTCAGTCTCTCTATCTGACAATCCCTAACCATCTGCACAAAGAGACAATCCAGCCCCGGGCAGCAGTGTGCAGCCCCTCTCCCCTGGTTTTTCTTTTTCAGGAACTTCACATCCAAACTGGAAGAAGAAGAACCTGGACCCCTGTGGTCCTCAATCCTCCTCCTGCCCCCTTCCCCCATCAGCATCTCATCTCCACCGACTCTCTTCCATGTTGCCCTCTCAGCACTGGCATGGTTTGGTGTGTGGGGTCCTCCAACCCTCCCTCCCTTCACCAGCCTCCCCCCTCGACCCCACCCGTCACACTCCTCCCTGTTCTCCACCTTTTGTTTTACACCTCTCCATCTTTCTCTGTGTGTCTCTCTACTCATCTGTCTTCACAGCGGATTTTGCATTGAAGTAATGAGTGCGCTAACAGTGCTTGTTGCGTCAAATGTGGGCATCCCAATAAGCTCCACCCACTGCAAGGTATCGGAGTCATTTTGGTAGCGGAGGCGCGTTAGAGCGACTTCCCAGAGCTCCACTTCATCGCTTCACCTGTAGCTGTCAATCGCCACAGCCAATCACCAACTCCTCAAGTTGAAGTTTTGGCCTCTCGTGCAGTTTTCCTCCAGTTTGACCCTCAATGGAGAATCTGGAAGTTCTAGTCAGTTTGATTTGAGCTTAGCAGCTTTAACGCATCACAAGTATTGACTTTAAAAGCAGAGGATTCATCAACCTGACATGTTTTATGAGTTATTTGAAGCCATTTCTCTTCATTTTATTTGTTAAATTAGTAGTAAATTTGATTAAAATTAAATTTAAAGTTAATTTTTAATGAAACTTAATTTAGATTTTGAGAAGTTCAGACTTGAGCTCGTGTCCCTGCAGCACGAGAAATATTAGTTAAAGGAAAACGTTTATTTACTTTGCAGCAAAGTTAGATGGAAAGATCGACACCATTAAATAGACAACTAGTTCCCCAACATCTGTTTTGTTTTGTGTTTATGAAAGATGATTCCTAAAAACATCTGAGAAAGGACAGAACCACATTTCTCCAAATAGTTAACTTCTGTTTTAATTGAACAGCCTGTTCTGGAGGAAGTCAAACAAAAATCATTCTAAAATACGTTTTAAAACTTCAAACACGTCGAGTCGGCCGAAGGGAAACTGCACAAGACTCAAAGCTGGTATTCAATTAATGATGATCAGTTTATCTAAACATCCACATCTCCATCCATTATCTTACTTCCACTCCTCACCTCCAAATACCCTGCCTCTTCCCTAAAACCCTTGGATAATCAACCGCTACGCCGAAATGCTAAATCTACTGATGGTTAGAGGTGTATGATCGTGGTGGTGGTGGTCTGAATGATTAAGCGTCTGGGGATCCACAGATGATGCTGGGCAAAATTTAGTATTATTAAATAATCTGGTTAGATGTAACGCTGGTAAATGTGGAATATTTCCTGTGCATCACCAACCAGCAACATCTGCGATCCCCTCCGGTGTGAATGAGCAGAGCTGGGCCTCCGTTTGGTTGTTTTGCTCAGGTCTCAGTGACCTTTTGTTTTTTTTACACAAGCCTCCTGTTGTTTTTCTGCCTTTTTGTGGAGGTTAAACCAAATTGAAGCCCAGCCCTGGTGTGTGGTTCGCCGTGGAATGATGCGATATGGACAGTGACTCGTTTCCACAGCTCTGCAGAAAACACCAACGCCGAGGTCACGCTGAGGTCACAGCTTGTTGCTGCATGCCTGAGATGCTGCAAATTCCTACAAACACACAGCGTTTCCATGTCGCTCCACAGTTTTAAAAAAAACAGTTTTATGTAGTCTTATTTATGCTGAAGGAGGATCATCCAGCACATAGTATGCACATGTACAGGTTTAGATTCATATCTTTGGGGTCAACTACAAAATGTTTACATGCTTTCATGTTTAAAAAATACATGACTTCTCTCATCTCTTTTAAAGCACCTCTACTGAAAACCCTAGTTTGCTCTTATGATGATGAAAGTGAGGCCAGATTGGTTCCTACTGGACCTCCATAGCTCTGAGTGTAGAGATTTATGTCTGTGAAGATGCTCAGTCATCCAGGTCATGGTAATCCTCGTGGATTCATCGTAGCTTGAGTTCCTTGAAGACGTTCCACCTCTCATCCAAGAGGCTTCATCAGTTCTGACTGACTAGTTTGGGTTCCAGATACTGATATCCTGAAGGAGACATTAACACCTGAGTTTGGGTTTCAATCGGGAGTTTGTTGAAAGTGAAGGAAGCCAAACTGGAAAGACCATCCCTCAACAGAGGTGGAGGTCTGAGGCATCACCTCTCACCTGTTTACAGCTCAGTCCTAAGATCTCTCCCCAGGAAGATGAACCCACATCCACACCGAGCCACAAAGACCCTAACGAACCCCACTGTGGCAGGGGGAGCACTAACGACTCACATAACGAGGGGGAGGAGCAACAAACCCTCAATTGAAACCCAAACTCAGGTGTTAATGGCTCCTTCAGGATGTCAGTATCTGGAACTCCCAACTAGTCAGTCAGAGCTGATGAAGCCTCCTGGATGAGAGGTGGAACGTCTTCAAGGAACTCAAGCTGTGATTAATCCACGAGAACAAGATGCATTAGTGGTAGAGGCAGCTTTAGTCAGTGAGTAACGTCTAACTGCGAGGAGGCTGAACTAGCCATTAGAAAGGCAGATGGTAGTGATATAGATCAGTGATGGACTCTGAGCTGTGTAGGTTTGCAGACCTTCTACATCCTCAATATAAGATGTATGAAAGAAAAGGAAACCCCTCCAAAAAACTCCATACAGGCTCTTTAAGTTGTGCTCTAGCAGCAGTGTTTTATTAGCTGGACTACAAACATGGCTGCTCTCTGGTCACCTTTATTTAGAGAGTGACTGAGGACGTCATGTTTCTGAAGCTGAACTCTGACCCAGCTGTAGCCTCTCAGAGCTGAAACCAGTCACTGGACACGTCACTCCAACATGATTTCTCTTTCATTCGTATTCTGATTTCTTTCACAGAAATGAGTTTTAAAATGCAGTCGTGGACGTCTGGCATTTGCAGATGCATTTACATGATCTGAGATATTTTTTTTTTTGTTATTTTATATCTTAATAATGAGGCAAATATTTTAAATCTTAAAACAAGCACTGCCAATCCAGACTCCCACGTCTACAGATCCAGCCTGGGTAGTGGTAACTCCTCCAGTCGGCTTCAGTCACTAACAGAAACGTGAGACTGAAGAGCTGAAGGCTGCACATGCTTTCCTGGTCAGCTGCTAACGTGTCTTATCAGGTCAATGAAGGACAGGGTGGAGGTAGTTTTCTGAAGCTTTATGCTTTTACTCAACACAAAGTCAAAGGGGAGTACTTTTTCCACCACAACCAGAGGTAGAACATACTATACAAGGAGTTCAGTAGACAGGTAATGGTTTAAAATGCATCATCTGGATGCTCTTCAGAAGCGTCTCTAATCAGGACAGCGTGGTCGACCTGCAGCTCTTCAGTGTCTCTGCTTTGTGCCGTTCGGTGCCGCCGCTGATTGTTCTTCTTCTCTTCCTCCTGGCTGCGGCCTCCAGGTGGGCTCGGTCGTGGCCGTGGGTTGGATCCGCTCCCAGAAAGCAGTGGACTGGCGCCTCTTCAGGAACATCTTCCTGGCGTGGTTCGTCACGGTGCCGGTGGCCGGCCTGTTCAGCGCCGCCGTCATGGCCCTGTTCGTGTACGGCATCCTGCCCTACGTCTGAGGGCCGGGAGGGAGAGCAGAGAGGAGGAAGAAGAGAGAGTCAGAGAAAGAGAAAGAGAGAGAAAGAGGAGATGAAAGGAAATGAAGCGAGGGGGAATGGGAAGGGGAGAGAAGAGAAGAGAGGTGAGGAAGCTGCAGAGGTTTACAGATGGACTCGGTTGTACTGTGGATGTGAGGAGGGTTGGTTCACATGCTGCCTGGCTCCGTAGTCCAGAGATCTTTTGTTTTCTGATCAGTTTTTTATTTATTCTCTTTATTTTGGGTGCATAAGAAAGTGTGTAACCATTCAATCTGCTGTACATACGACAACAATAGGGAGCTTACCAGTAACTTCTGTTAACCAGAATTATGTCAAAGTTTTCTATTTCCTCCTTAAAAGAATCATGAATTTAAAAAAAAAGAAAAGAAGAAGACAGCACATGACTTCAGATGATCCAAAAAGAAAAAACGGTTAATTCTGCACACCTCAACTGACAGACCTGCCTGAATCTATATCCTTCTGCCTGCGACCCCAGGTAGCATAGCTGGTCAAGTGCTTATTATTATTATTATTATTGTTATTATTAATATTATTATTAGCATTATTCCAAAATGCGAGATTTTAAAAGATAAAGAAACAACAAGAACCCTGTACATATCGTTCTACTGGATTGAGTGTGATTTGTTGTATTGCGGCTTGCTTTAAAGTTCAAAACAAAAGAAGAAGAACAGATGTGTGTGTGTGCGTGTGTGTGTGTGTGTGTGCGTGCGTGTGTGTGTGCGTGCGTGCGTGTGTGTGTGTGTGTGGTCGACCAACCCATCCATCGCCTCACTGTCAACACGCTAGCCAGGTACAACTGGGGCCAAACGGGAAGGACGCCTCAGACGAGGGGTGGTGGGACTGTCACTCTGCTTTTTTTTTTTTTTGTATTTTCCACATGATACCATAGAAACCTAATTTACTAAAGAGTTGATTTTTTTGTGTGTCAAGAGCTCCTGTATGTTTTTAGAGATGGATCTCATATTTTTTAATGATGTATTATACTGTAATTTGTACTGTAAATACTGTCCTTAAAGAGTCTGGCGGTGGGACGGGAGGGGAGGTTTGTTTTTAATGTCGTAGTGTGGCGGCGGGCGGGCGGGGGGGGGGGTGGGGGGGCTCTTAACCTCATCATGATGTCATAACTTACAGTATGTTTCATCCCCGTGGCTCATTGTAGAGCGGAAACACACTCGACGGATCGATTCAGGGGGAAAGTTTCAAATGACGAACCTGCTGCTCGGTTCCTTCTGGTGCAACAGTATTGATAGGAAGTTCTTTAGCTAAAGGTTCCCTTCTGGAGAAAGTGTTTCTGGTGGAGGAAAGAGGGAGGTCGCTCCTTGGAGAGCAGAACCATGCCAAAGTAAAGTTGTGCTGCGACATGCCAATTTAAAGTAGAGAGAATTAGGAGTACAACCACGACAAGGTCCCACGAAACGTTCACATATCTTCATCCGGATGCCTTTGTTTAGCTCAGCTCCTGGAGTCACCTCGTGTCAAAGGCTCCCTGCCAATAACGGGCCTCTCCGCGTTCTGTTCGGACCTCTCGGCCTGTTTCCTGGTCAGATTATCAGGGGGTCCTGCGGTTCTGTAAACCCGAGGCTCGTCGTGTCAAACTGTCTGGAAGGAGGAAGCGGTTCAGCTTCAGTGTAGCTCCTGAAAACGGGCCGGCGTTGTTTGAAGCGGCGTTCGGTCTCCAGACGACCCGCGTTTCAATCTAAAGTGCTAAAAGTTTAGCGAGTAGGTACCACGGGCTGGAGGGGAGGCGCTGGAGGGTCTTCAGACTGCTCATGTCACATAAAATATCCAGACTCTGGTCATTTGGTCTGATGGAGATGGTATATCTGGGGAGGGGGGGACAGTACTGATCATCACCAGCTTTTAACCGGGTCGCCCGACCTGTAGATGAACAAAGTCTAAAGCTTTTTGTTTTTTATTCGAACAAACTCGATGCCAGGTGTTGCAAGTTCTTTGTTTTTTTGTTTTTGTTCTTGTGGTGTGTTTCCTAATTTCGTTTTTTTTTCTTTCTCATGAACAAATCTATGCTTAAGTAGCCACTTGCCTTGTAACATCGTGTTTTACTTTGTGCAGATACAGTAAAAATAATCCAGTACTGTGGTGTTTACATCGTAACCATATCGTAGAGTATCTGTAAAAAAAAACTACAAAAAAAAAAATAAGTTGCCTAATGATGCCAATGAAAGACAAAACTATTAACCATGAATTTTTAAGTGCAAGTATATTAAAAAAAAATAAAAAATAACCAGAAGTGTCTAGAGAGAACGAGAGCGAGAGCAAGTGTGTGTGGCGCGTTGGGGTTTTCTTCTCTGTAGTGGTGGTAGTGCTAATCATGATCCCGTCACTTTACACCGCGACTACAGCAACACTACATGTGTGGGTGCAATTCAGCAATGAAGAGAATAACTAGAGAAATTTCATCAAAACTATATATTTTTCTACCATATCTGAGTTTTAACCTGGGTGAGCTTCCGGACACTCTGGAGGACGTGCCGCGGCGCCGGCGGGAGTCTGGTGGACCAGCTGTGGTCGGACCGCCGTCGGGTCTTGCTTCAGGGGGGGCCACGTGCCAGAGCTCCCCTCCGGACGCCCCGGCGGGTCCTCCTGACATGTAGACTGACGTGTCGGTTGCCAGTAGATCAGATTTTTAAATTACCATTTTTATTTTTGACTTTTAGATGAAAACACTTTGTAATTTTGTTTCCCTACTGCTTTGATCATGAGCTGCGAGAGCCGGACGGCAAAAAACCAGGACGACTGCTCACAAATCGAAGGACGAATCTGGTGTTTGTAGCCGAAAAAAATGTCAAATCTTAAACTTGGTAACTGAAAACTGGACTGTGAGGACATTTGTTTCCTTGTTTTTGGCGGGTGGCCTCTCTTGAAGCTCATGTCCTTCTACTCTTCTACAGGCGGTGGGTTACGCAGGGCGGCTGCTCGGCGCTGCTCTGCTCACTTTGACAGTCGTGCATTTAAAAGTCACGACCAAGAGGTTCAGCATTGTTTCCCAAAACAATAAAGAGCTCAAAAAAAACCAAAAGTTTTCCACCGTTGTCTTTACAGCGAGCCGGCGTGTAACTGCAAAGCCAGCTGAGCAACGAACGCAGACAGAAACAGAGAAAGAGGAGTTTGACAACACAAGGAGCAGTTAATCAGATTGTTTATGAACTCAACCTTTCTATTTGCTGAAATAGAAGCTTGAGCATCAACCACACTAAACTAAAAATGGGTTAAAATCTACGGCTGACATGATGGAAAGAGTCAGTTAACATCAGCAAACACACTAAAACGCATGTTCTCCTCTTGTGGAGCCTAAACGTTCCTCCTGCTGCTCCGAGCGAGCTGTCAGCTGTTAACATGTTCTACCTAAAGCTAAAATTATACTTTTTTTGTCTTCTAAGATAAACAGACTTGACGAGAGTCTGATGCTGGATTTTCGGTAGTAAGAGATTCTGAACCCAGTATAACGTTGTTTAAATGTTAGCTATGTTGAAAAGGGAAAACGACGAGGTCTTTATTCATTAACTTTCCAGCGGTTTATCTCCCACAGGAGATAACAACCTAACCTCCGTCTGCTCGGCTGTGATTCGTGCTCTGCTGCATGTGCTGCAGAGAGTCGGAGCTGCTTTTCTAAATCACCCCGAGCATCTTTTTCTGTGTTATGTTCGTTAAAAGAAAGTTTTAATCGTGGTGTATCCCAGCCAGGCTCTGATTTTAACAAGCACAATAATAGCATTCAACAGGTTCCCATGAGAGCCGAGTTAGAACCTCACGGTGGCCGGTACCGGATACAACAGTCTGTGTTTATTCATGGCTAAAAGAAAGAGTTCCTCTGTTAATGTCTACAACAGTAGAAACCTGTTTAGTTTGACAAACATGTTCAGTAATTGGCCAGCGTCTCAGTAAACTGACAGCGTTAGCTCGCTGCGTCGCCGGGACGAGGCTCGTGGGAGTTTTGGCGAACAATGACCTGAACCTGAATCCACTTTCTTATGAGGTTTGACCGTCTTTGGGTCGCTTCAGAAACATCGGCGCTCCGCTCTGCAGCCCCCTCTGTAACTCACACTGTCATTCTTTTTGTTTTTGTTTTCCATGCATTCTCAGTCCTGATAGGCCAAAAGGGATGCACTGCTCAAGATGGGGAGGGAAAGAGAACAGCGCCATCTGGTGGCAGCGCTGAGCTCCAATTCTGACAGTTTAGTCGAAACAACAGAGGCTACCTGGGATGTAATAAACCAGTAATGCTGTTTAGATTTATAAAAAATGGATTTGGATTTGAAAAACTATTTTTAAAGAGTTTAACAAACAAAAATTCAGAAACGTTAACGTAAGGAAGCAAAACTGTCGTCATGCTCTGAATGAGAAGCACAGACTAAAAACGACAGAAACTTCATGCCAAACTTTTATTATTATTATTATTATTTTGGCATAAAATTGTGTCTTCGTGGAGGAATCGGCGCCACGATGCTGATCCGACTCTATTGAGCCTTGTGAGATATTTTTAGCTTTAAAGTGTAAAAACAAAAGTGCAGCCGCGGCCGCTGGATGGCGCCGCCGGACACTTTCCCTCCCCGTAGAGAGGGACAGCAGCATTCTAGACCAGAGCGTTCCAGCTGATCGATGAGTGCTGTCATTGCCATTGAGGGAGTTCCTGTGCTTCTACCGCATTATAGCCGCTCAGTAACCTTTTTCGTAGTGAACAACTCGACAGAATGTGCCATTTCTTTCTCCCTGAATGTGCAATACAAGCTTGTTTTCTCGTGAAAGGTGCAACTACATCGCTGTCACCGTGTGGTCGTGTAGCTCCACCTGCCCTGGTGTAATAGCGCCCCCTCCTGTTGGCGTGGAACCAGCACCCACCCGACGGAGGCGGAGGGGGGGCTTCAAGTTCAGACCTTCATCTGGATGTGGCGTGCTGTCTCTAGTGTTCTGGTCTGTTTTGTAATAGAATGTGCTCCTTGGCTGGCCTGCAGGCTTCTACGGCTCCGTGTTGTCTTTTTTACTGTTTACTGCTTAACTTAACTGTCCGGTCCTTCGAAACTTTAAAAAAAATGAAAAAAATTCAAATAAAAGTACATTAAACAAACAAAAAAAAGAATAAAAATTCAAAAGAAACCGTAGCCTGCTTCTACAGAGAATCTTAAAGCTCTTCTGATTTGCATATATCGTACTGTAATGTTTTATTTAAGATTTTAGTGAGAAAAAAAAATGTCTGCATTTAAACTAAATTATGGGAATTAAAATTACAAAGAATACCTAAAAAAATCCACCGAGTTGTGTTTTCTTTTTGTGAACAGATGTTTATTATTCAAAGCTTGGAAGCTGTTTTTGTTGTATTTTATTTTTTCTCTCACACACTTTGAACATTTACTCTGTCCAGGAGCAGCAAGATAATTTAATTTAACTACATCTCATCACTTGTCAGATATACAGGATGATTTAAGAGTAAATGTTTTCTCTCATACATTAAATATTAATAACTAAACTCAAAATAAAATTTAGGGACATCACCACATCCTGAACTGAGGCTGGTGTTGATCTATTCACCAGATCTAGTTTGAAGAAATTAACCAGGAAATAGAAAATACCTTCTTAGAAATGTGTAATTAATCTGTCTGCTTTTATGACACCGGTACTTCTAGTATTTAGTGAACTAATTGTTCCATAAAAAGGTGCATTAATCAGATAATCCAGGCTTATTTCAGTTAGCCTGCCTTCTTGTTAGGTTTTTCTGTTCCAAAAACCAGATTCAACATATTCAAGCTTAAGCTGTCTGTAAAGATTCTCAGTCATCCAGGTCACGGTTATCCTCATGGATTAATCGTAGCTTGAGTTCCTTGAAGATGTTCCACCTCTCATCCAAGAGGCTTGAGTTGGGCGGTGGGAGTTCCAGATACTGAGATCCGTAAGGAGACATTAACACCTGAGTTTCAGGTTTGTTGCCCCTCCCCCTCAATATACTCCTTCAGGATATCAGTATGTGGAACTCCCAACCAGTCAGTCAGAGCTGATGAAGCCTCTTGGATGAGAGGTGGAACGTCTTCAAGGAACTCAAGCAGTTGCTACGATTAAACTACGAGAATTTAGTTTAAGTTACTCTGACGACTGATGCTGGGAAACTGATCTAGTTCAGGTCAGGCTGAACCAGAGTTCCTGTAACACTGATGCAACAAGAAAAACAAAGATTTTAGTTATCTGGTGTCCGACCATGTGATTTGACTGTATTACCAAAAATTTGTTTATAGAAAATCATCCATCATCTCTACACCTTAATCCTCACGAGGGTCATGGGGGCTGGAGTCTATCCCAGCTGACTCAGGGTGAAGGCAGGTTCACCTGGACAGGTAACCAGTCTATCACAGGGCTACACTTAGAGACAGACAACCAAGCACACTCACATTCACACCTACGGACAATTTACAATCACCAATTAACCTCAGCATGTTTCTGGACTGTGGGAGGAAGCCGGAGAACCCGGAGAGAACCCACGCTGCACGGGGAGAACATGGAGACTCCACGCAGAAAGATCCCGGGTGTCCTCACCGGGACGTGAACCGGCGACCTTCTATGATTATGCTAACCACTGAGCCACCTCGCAGCCCTTAAATTACACCAATAGAATGATAACAGTCACGATAACAACTGCAGAAAAAGGCTATAAATCCGTGTGCCACTGTGTTCCTGATGGGATGTTTCATACAGATAATACTGGTACATTTGCAGGCCTTAGTTTAAAGATTTGATATATACACAGTATTGTTTTTCTGTTCATGCTTACCTTTTTGTATCAGTTTGACTTTATTCAGGACTTTAGTTACCACTTCGCTAATGTGCTTTATGAAACATTTCATTGATGATTCTTTCCTAAATAATGTTGATAATCACCTGCTTTCTTTATAAAACCATTAAATACCCCCACATGGAGCTATAGGTTAACAAGAAGCTTCATTAATCCTAAATAAACGCTTGCTGATTGTATTTTTATACCATTAAGATGCTTCTCATGTTACAACCTGTGTAGTTTCAAACCACCTCGACGCTGTGCTTGTGTCTCCTCGTTTCCCCTCCACTTTGCATGCGTTTGGTTTCCTACAGCAACCGACCTCTTCAGAGGCTGAATGAATGTGCCAGATCTTTTCAGGCTGCTCTTATTTAGGGTTTCGAGCTCAGATAATAATTCAGCCACTTGGCACAGATTGCTCTTTAAGTTCCCAGCAGTGTGGCTGCCTGCGCTGGATTTAATTTGACAAAGTCTCTCCAGCAACGCTGAGAAATGCCGCTCGGATTCTGGCTCCCTGCGAGTGACAGCGTTTATGTTCGATGGGATAATGGTTTCCATTTCATTGTCGGTTGAATCGGTAACCAAACAGAAATGGAAACCATGACCTCCACCCATCAGCGTTCCCCTAACAGAGACATTGTTCCTGCTCAAGAGAAGGTATTTGTTCATTTGTTTATGGTTCTTGTCTTCATCCTAATTGACAACAGAAAAGCCCCTCAGCTGTGATAAAATGTGGCTTCTGCACAGGAAGACAAATATCCAGCTTCAGACTGGAAGTCCACAGAAAGGAATGTGTCACATTTCTGCATTAAAACGTCGGAAAACAACGAATGTTAGAGTTTGTGTTTACTGTTGTACTTACGTTCTACCAAACGTGTCCAACAATGGAGAAAAAAATCACAATATAATGCTTCATTTTAGGTCCATCCATCATCTCTACACCTT